ATATTTTAGTTATTTTAGTATCTGATACTATGGATACTAAAATACTATGGATGCGGAAATTTCAACTAATTCCCAGCTGCAAAGAGATGCATGTTAACTCCCTTAGTTTGATGATAAAATGTACCTATCTACAGCTGGAGAATGTGTCTATATAACTGGAGTGTTTTCACATGTGCAATTTGCTGACCATAGCATAGTAGTCAAGAACAGAATTCAGCCCTGGCCGGTGTGGCCAGTTATTTGTAGTGTCAGTCCCATACACCAAATGGTGGTAGGTTCAATTCCCAGTCAGGGCACATACCCAGGTTGCAGGTTCAATCTCTGGTCAGGGCACATGTAAGAAGGCAATCAATCAGTGTTTCTCTTTCACGTCAATGTTTCTCCTTCTCTCCCTTCCTCTTTCTCTAAAGGCAATTAAAAAATGTCCGTGGGTGAGGATAAAAAGATTATTTTAATTTAAAAAAAGAGCAGAATGCAGTAGTCAAATTGCCTGAGTTTGAATCCTGGCTCTTCCACAAACAAGCTGGGTGAAGTTGGGCTTAACCACTTTGTGCTTCAGTTTTTCATCTATGAAATGGGTTGTTGTGGGTATATATGTACATATATGTAGCACTCTACATATAATGAGTATTTATGGGCATATACACACAAGTGTATATATACTTACATGTGTGTATGCATATATGTGGTGATGTAACATGTTTAGGGCAATACAGATGTACATATATGTAATGTGCTTAGGGTAGGTCTGGCACATAGTATACACTGTAAAAATATGATTATTATTATTGTGTAGCCTTTTCAGAAGCAAAATCCTTTATCAGTGACATCCCCTACCCACACAGCCCCCTCCTCCTGGCCATGTTCCACAATCCCTTAATGAACTTGTTCTTCTCACATGGCAGACTGATGAAAAGGGGGAAGTGAGTGAAGGGGGGAGGAGATGTTTGGTGCGGGTCTTGGTAACAGGGCCTGCTGCCATAAGGGGCAGCAGAGTTAGGAAAGCCACAAAACAAGAAAACTGAGTTTGGGGGAAAATCCGAACTGTCACTCGATTAATTAAAGAAATGTATGGGAGCTGTATAATTGACATTGCCTCTAGTAGATTTTTATAATATGTTAAGATTTTTTTATTTTAGTAGTCACTAAAGCAGACATATAATAGTATAAGAAATAACTATTTCTGCAGAGTATAGAATATTTTATATATATATATTATACTCTGCATATTTATATGTGTGTGTGCATATATTCGATCTCATTCTATAAATGCTTCTCCAAGCAGACTTTCTGTGATTTGAGCACCCTGTCCTTTCTAGAATGAGGTGTTTTGTTTGTTTGTGTTATAGGTATGTAAAGAGGAGCCACTACCAATCCTCAAAGCTATATCCTAAATAGACTGTCAAGATTATATTTCTAAAGGTCAAAGACTAAGGCAATAGCTTCAGGTGTCAACTTGTCCTCAAATGAGTTTTTATTGTGATGGATTAGGACATAATCCGTTGATACAATAAAGCACTTATTAAATCACAGAGGCCATTGGCTGAAATAATAGTTTTCTTTATGATCATAATGATGAGCTGTCTTTCACATATTGTTGGTTTCATAGCTATAGATGACTACAATTTGGATTTTACCATCAAAATAAAATTGATGGGAAAGGGTTAATTGCATTCTTATGGGAGATTGTATGAATGTGTGTGGTTTCCACGGACAGAGTACTGACTGTCAGATCTTCGGGGTATGGCCTCTTGTGTGTTGTCTTTCATTTTTGTGCAGAGAGTTTGAAAAACATACACATTAAATAATGTAAAAACCTTATTATCAAATAAGATGAAGCCTTATTATGGCTTGATTCAGTATGGTATGTAAGACGATAGCCTGTGCTTTCAAACAAAACCGCATAGAGGAGATATCATATAATATTGCCAAATGATTTAAACAACAAGGGTTGATCCTGTTCCATGAGCATAATGATGGAAAGGATACACTATACAGCCCTTTATGTTGACATGCCTGCTCGTTATATTTTCAACTTCTTTTTCTCTCAGTGAGTCCTTGAATTTTAGAGACATTAAGCATTTTCTTGCAGAGTGCAATGCATTCTGGCCAAATGTCCGCTTCTATTTCCCAATGACTTTGGGGTATCTGGAGGTGAAGAGAAGTGCTTCCCCGCAGTAGCTGCCCAGCAAAATCAGGAATAAGGTGACAGAGGGATCAAAGCATGAACTCTCCCATGCAAAAAACAATGCACTTTATCCCCATTTATTTACCATTTGCAAAAATCCCTTTGAAGCACTCAGACTTGGTGAGGCAATATTAAAAAGCAGGTTTTAAAAGTGAAAACAGCAGAGTTGAGGCGAGGGAATTGATGAAAGCATAGTTTATATTTATTCAGAAGTACTTTAAAACAATCTGTGTTTAACATGGCAAATTGTCTGTCATTAAAATGCTAATGAAATGGTAAACAGCTGCTAAGTTTTTTATGCTAATGAGCGGTGGCAGTTTAGTAGCTCTCCAGCCTTGTCTTTATTAGCATAGAGATTTGATTGGGTAAGGGGTTAGGATCACTGTGCGTCCCAACCCTTGCTGATGGAGCAAGCTGTTTGTCAGGTTCCACGTTTCATTCTATTTGATTTTAGTTAGTACAAAGTGACTCCTGCCAGGCCCTGGAGGATCATGTATGGCAGAGTTGTTATCAGAGCCGCCATTGTGGGCTTAGAATTTTCTTTTCTTTGGGAGACATGGCAAAATAATTATACATTTGTTCGTGAGGCAGCTTTAAATAGAATAACTGTAAATGTTCATACTTTAGACTTTCAACAATTATACTAAGTGTAAATTGTAAAAGGATGTTGCTCTAGTATAATAAGTTGGTTTTTTGACTTAGCTAAGATTTTACAGCAAAGCTTTTAACGTAAATTTTTTAATAAGTGCCTCTGCAATATTTGACATATTGATATAATACATCACCTTGGATCTACAAGCTCTGAAGCTAGCAATGAATGTGATGTTACCTAATTAGAAGAATAGGTATAATTAAATAGAGGATGCTTATGTGAATGCCATAAGTACTTACTTTGACATTAGAAAAACAACCATTACTGTTTGATCTATACTTTTGACTGATTCTCTTTTTGCTGATTCTACTCTGTATTTTCTGATGGAGGGGACTGATCTGAAAGCTTATCATTACAGATAAATGCTTCGGATGTTTTTCTTTTTTTTTTTTTTCTGTTTTTAGGATCCATGTAAATGAGGTATGATCAGTAAATGGTGTCTATTAAACAGCATTGCCAATAATGTTCTGGAATGATTTGAAATACAATGCAGAGTTCATTAAGGAAAATCATTGAAATCGGAATTTTTAATTATTCTGGGACACTATATAAGAACACTGGTGGCTATTTCAGTAGTTGCGAATATTTTCCCGTACTGTTTACTACTTCTGAAGTCAGAAGGGGCTATAAGCATATGAACAGCGTGGTCCTATAGGCAGGCCAGGAGAACGCAGAACCCTCATACACTGCTGGCTGTGATGCAAAACAGTTCGGTGGTTTTGGAAAACAGTCCGAACCTAAAAATCACCAATTCCACTCTTAGGTACATACCCAAGAGAGCTAAAAACATACACAGACAAAAACTTAGAAAAAAATATTTATGCTAGCATTAGTAATAAAAGCCAAAAAGTGGAAAGAGTACAAATGCCCATTCATGGATGAATGAGTAAGTAAAAAGTGATACATCTGCAATGGAATATCAGTCAGCCTTAAAAAGGAATTAAGATCTGGTACATGTGACAACATAAATGAACTTGGAAAACATTATGCCAAGTGAAAGAAGACAGTCACAAAAGACCTCGTATTGTTTGATGTCATTTAAATCAAATGACCAGAAGAGACAGATCTATAGAGACAGAAAGCAGATGGTCCGTGGCTGCCAGGAGCCAGGGGTGTTCAGAGGAAATGGAGAATGACTGCCCACGGGCGTGGAGTTTCTTTTAGGGATTGTGAAAATGCTCTAAAATTGTGGTGATGGTGGCACAATTCTGTGAATATGCTAAAAGCCTACTATGAAAATTCCACTATGAGAGCTTCAGTTATCTGGTATGTGAATTATTTCTCAAAAAAGCTGTTTTTTTTTAAGCCATGCCAGGGCCTGTCTCCCAGCGCCACCTGCACCAGCAGTGACTTATCTGCCATGTGTGGAGGCCACAGGATAGAGGAGCACTTTCAATCTCCCACACATGGGTTAAGCCACACATCTAAAGAGATGACAGCTGTTATAATTGTTAAAAGGGATGGTTGCTACAATAATAGGTCTTATTAGAAATAAAATTTAAATATAAAAATTTGAGTTCCTGTCCCAGCTCCTCCCTGTCCGACCCAGGTCATAACAGCTGCTTTAAGATTCACAGTCTGTCTAAACTCTCTATTTCACTCTCCACAAAGTAAAAGACAGCTTTGTTTGTTTTTGTAATTAAATTACCTTATTGATTTTGGAGAGAGATAGGAAGGGAGAGTCAGAGAGAGAAACAGGAATTTGTTGCTCCACCTACTTATGCACTCATTGGCTGATGGTTGTATATCCCCTTGTAAAAATCCTACAATTATCTACGATTTGCATAAAACATGCCTGCTAGCCATCCAGTGACTTCGAAAGGCTCCTCCCCGCTTCTCCTACCTAGTCAGAGACAATGGTTGGACAGCAGGATGACCCCTCGTTCTGTGCCACCTGCCAGCAGATCACTGCACTCTTATCTCAGCAGAGACCGAGCTGCCTCAGCCCTGGCCGTGAGGAAGCATTTGCGTCACTGTCTTAGGCAATGAGCAAGAAGGCCCTTTGTGACTGTATTTTCTCCTCCTGTGCTATTTGCTTACTTCCAGAGTAACTTTCTGGCTTGCAGGTTGCAGCTCAGCAGTCTTGTTTTTGCACCACAGGTTGGGGAAGGAGATGGATGTGAGCAAGAGACCGAATGTTTTTTCCTTTGTTTTTTGCAGGCAGTACATGCCACACTACCACCCTTCCTGCTCTTGTGCGCACACCTACCCTGATGATGCAGCCTTCGCTGGACATCAAACCCTTCATGTCTTTTCCAGTGGACAGTAGTTCTGCTGTTGGACTCTTTCCAAACTTTAACACAGTGAGTAAATGCATTTTTATGTTATTTGTGTCCTTCTCATTTTCTTTTGTGAACAGGCAGTTGGTGCAGCCCGTTTCTGAAGTGTGTAATTTTAGACCACGTCCTGCTTCCACTGCTCAGCCTGTTGTGGAAGATACTATGTCACCTATGAGAGTTGGTCCAGACGATAGCTAGCATATTTCACCTGTATTTCCACAGGTGACTTTTTACTTGTTGCTTTGAACAATTTTGATAGACTTTTCAGTGGCTTGAGAACCCCTGTCTTTTCTGGGATGCTGTTCACATGGTCAAGGACACAAGGTAAGAGATAAAAGCCACATGGATTGTTCCCTCCTACTACCAAGAAAAAAATTATATGTTTATCCCCCTGGGTACATTTTTATTTAGGAGATGTTTTAGATAAGCACACTTATGCAAACAGAATTTTTATTTGGAGGCTATTGTGGATTATATGAATGTGAGTCTAATAGTTTAAAAAAACCCAAAAACCTCATTTAAATATATACATTAGTTGTCTAGATGATAATTTGACATCCCCATTAAAATACATGATAAATATTAGCAAATTACTATCATTGGCTACATTCTTAATTCAGGTCAGCTGACCTTTAATCTGAGTAAAAGACATTTTATAGGTTAGCTATAGAGAGCTTGGCTTCTTTCAGCAACAGAATTCAGCATACAATCAGTTCATAGCCAGATTCCAAACTTACAGTGAGAGAAGAGGTTAAAACAGTTCAGGTGATTGCATGAATTGTGTCTGTTTAGCTAATACAGTCGGTTGGGGATGGTGGTGGACCTAAAGGGTCCAGCATTCTAGAAGCCACTATGGTCAAGAAAAAGAACTGCAGTATCAACACCACCAGACAGTGAACATCTGAAGCCCTGCCAAATGTTTTCTTTTGCAAATTTATCTTTTATATGAAGTGAAAACAGCAAGAGGATTCTTTCTCAAGGCTGTAAATAAAATCTGCTGACAGGCCTTCTGCTGTGGCTTAGCGTTGGTAAGGTAATTAGCAATTGGGGGATCAGCCAACTTTCTAAAGAGTGCTGGCCTTGACTTACTGAGTAAACATTTGACTGGTTTTTTTCTTTGGGTCTTTCAAAGAGACAAGTCAGACAGTACTTTTAAAAAGGCATTAAAAGGTGAGCATCACTTCTCTCGCGGGAACAGCTCGGTAGGACAACTCCCACCCGCCCTGGTCACATTACTCCCTGAGACATGACCACACCTATGATTGTGCCATTCAGGGAATCTAAACCCAGGCACGCCTGCCGTGGCCTCTGTCAAACTGAAACACAGGTGATACATCCCAAACATCACTGGAAGAAGTCATCAGTGCATACATCTTAAGAACATGTAGTCAGTGTTCGTGTTCTGACTAATGTACCTTTGGAAGATGGCACTCGCAGCTACTGCCTGTGCCCAGTTGCCGCCAGGAAGCAGCACTGCCGGTGTGGGTGGGCATGGAAGGCTTCCGCCGTGGCTCATCTCTGTGTCTTTTTTTGTTTTTTAACACAAGTCATACGTAAATACTCGTTTCAGAGATTCATATAAAAACATTAACATTCAAAGAGCAAACTGAAATTCTCCATTCCCTGCCCCTCCAAAGTGCTCTTCAAGAACTGGCACATGTCCTTCCAGCCCCCTCCTAAAGTATCGTGTGTATATATCCAAAAGGAACACAACCCAGATGTCTGTTTACAATCGTGATCAGATCGACTCAATTCTCTAAGTCACTTTTTTCTGTTATCAAAATGCCTTACATGTGCCTCTGTGTTCTCAAGGGCTATAAAACAAAAATGGAAAGAATATTTTCATAAAGGAGTTTTTTAAAATAAAAATAGTTTCATAATGGCTTAAGATGTTGTATAGGGCTTAGAGATGTAACAACTTGCCTTTTTGTTTATTTCTGTATTATTCATAGTAATTAACCTTATGATACATTTGAAAATGTCCAAAGAATAATTCTCCTCATTGAAGTTCATTTTTTTTCTTAAAAGAAAATAAACTTGTAGTTTTCAAATGAAAACAGTTTTTGGTTAAGGTGAAGAATATAACGAAGAACTACATTAGATAATCATTTTTCTCTATATATTGTGTCAAAGGCATTTATTGGACATAGAGCCTTTTTGATAGTGTGTTAAAATTAAGTCATTGCAAGTGGGATCCTTATCATTTTTATGAATTTCTAAGATCACTGGAGGGTGTCTTCTGATTTTTTCACTGAACTGCAGTTTTAATTACTCTAACCTTTGTTCTATAGCCTTTTGCATTCTACTGTTGAACTTTGCCCCATATATTTCCTAAGGTAATTTAATAAAAGTCATTGTCAACATCTTCCTAGTAAACCATTTTTATATCACTAATAATACTTATACTAGATTACTATATATTTGTCGTGTTTTATATTCTTAAAAGCTCTCAGACTTTAAAACATCCGAGTAGACCATGACTATTATTTCTATTGTCTAGAGGAGGAAAGACAGTAAAGGAAGGAATTAGACCTGAATTAGAACCTTCTAACTCGGAAACGCGTGTTCTGGCTCTTCCGTGTCATCAGCTCTTTCGGTCCATGTCACCTCCCACTCATTCACTGCGAACGAAACTCAATCAGAAATCTTTTCTGCTTTTTTTCTGGAAACGTGGTAGACAGTTTTCAGCAGAATCAATAAATAAAAAGAGGAAAAGATTTTTTAAATGCATAACATGGACCTTTCTGTACAAATCATATTTGTGAAGCAAAATGTATTTTTAAAATGGTTATAATTTTTTCTTAGCAAATTTTAAAAGTATATTCTACTCAGTAACCACTTGTTCTTTGAAAGCCAAAGTGACTGCTATTTTAATCACTTTATTTTTCATTAAGGATAGTATTAGCAATTATAAGAAATATTCTAACTCAGTTATCAGTAGAGTGAAAACATTGTGTACTTTGTGAAGACAGCTAAAAGCTTTAGAATTTGAATTTTGCTATTTTCTTTATATGGATTTAAAATATATATTTTTATAGTAATGGTTATATACATGTATACACATATATACATATATATATGGGTTCTTTATAGTGAAGTACTAAAATGTTACATCAGAAATATAGCAAGAATCAAGTGGGTCTCCATCACGGTTCAAAGCAGAATAGATAACACTAAATTGTTCACAATAAAGAGATGTGCCTCAGAGCATTCATTCTGTGGCTGTCTTGCCTTATGCTCCACAACCAACATAATCTTTCTCAGTGTTTATATGTGAAGAATAAGCAAGTGATTTGAGACAATGACCAAGCAGAGTTAGGAAGAGCCGTGCTAGGGAAGATGGAGTTTGGATCACTGGTAATTTATGATGGGCTGTGTGTCAGGGATGCATGTCTGAAGAATAATGATGTTAACTCTGCACCTCAACAATTCTACCTTACAAAGGGGCTGTTTTGAACCACTTATAGGTAAAAGACTGTGCAGACAAGAGCATAAACTTTTAAAGATCTTGACCTTTATATCTAAAGCCTATTGGCTTATCAGCCTGGCTACCCACTAGTGCACATTTCCATCTCTGCCACTGCACCTTCAATTATTTGTTGTCCAGAGCTCCACTTAGATACTACCTCCCTCACAGGAAGTCCTCTGTGACTCTTCATGTCTGAACTAAGTGTCCACCCTCTGTATTTCCCAAGTACCTCCAGGTTACCTCCATTGTTGTTGCTGTTCCACCACAGACCAGTGACCTGATTATCTTCCTCACCGGACTGGCAGGACACGACACTGTCCCATTTATCTTTGTCTATTTGGTGTCGGCACAGGTGTTCAGTAACACTCTCTCAAAACAAGAAAGGAAGGGAAGAAGGGGAAAAAAAGGCAAAGGAAAGGGCCCCAGTTCCTTGGTTTTGAATGTTCACATTCCAGCAAAGGAACACCAACATTTCTGCACTTTTCACTACAAGAGGTGTTTACCTCTGGTAGGTCCAGAGGTGTTTACTTTTATCTTTATTTTTCTAATAACTGTCATTCTTCCTTAATCTAAAGGAAATAATCAGTTACAAAGTTATCCCCAGCAATAGTACTGTCTTTCTCTGCATGGATGGTGTGGAAACTTTGCAAGTATCTACTAAATTCCTGCCCTAAACCCCAGTTTTAGGAGCATTCAGTTAGAACACACAGTAATTAGTTACTGAATTTTATGGAAAACATCATACATGTATTAAAGAGCTCTGGGTTGGGAAAGAAGATAAAGTAAATACCCTAGGGTGCAAGAAAGTTATAAGAAATAGAATAAACAGACAAGAAAGGGCAAGATAATAAAACTTAAGAAATATAGGCAAAATGAAAATAGTTACAGAACTATTAAAGAGTTCAAGAAGAATTAATTTTTTCATATGCTAGTAGTACAGCTATTTTCATTATTTTGTTATTTACTGTACTTTAAATGTCAAATGTTCCATGGTCATCTTCTAATTATTGCACATAATGTTTTGGTAGCTTCCAAAATGTATATACTTGTTTCTCCTATTAGAATTAGCATCTACCATCTCCTTTACTGTGGATGCAGTTTTTATCTTTGTTCAGCTAGGATAATACTTGGTGTTAAATTCTCCTTAAAAGATACTTCTTTAAAACTGAAATAAATTGTATACTTACAGCAATGGATAGTATCAATTTAATATAATAAAACAGTGTAGTAGAAGACAAGTATCCATACATGCTGTGATAGACTGAATGTCCGTATCCTCCTCTCCAAATTCATGTATTGGAGCCCTAACACCCAAGTAAAGGTATTTAGAGAGGTAATTAAGATTAGATGACGTGTCATAAGGGTGGGACCTTCATAATGGGATTAGTGTCCTGCTGAGATCCCAGAGAGCTTTCCCTCATTCCACCATTAAGAACATTATGAGAAGGCATCCATTTGCAAGCCAACAAGAGTGTTCTCACCAGAACATGACCATGCTGGAACCATGATCTTGAACTTCCAGCCTCCAGAACTATGATAAAACAGACTGCTGTTG